TGCGGAAGTCTAGGTACAGGCACAGGCAGGGGCAGGCTAATATACAAGACGTAGCTCGAAGAGCTACAACAGGATCTAGAACTGAAGTTCAAGATAAACAGGTCGGAGATCACGTGCCGTGATCTTCCTCTAACTAAGCATCACGGTTCGCACCGTGACACGCGGTTAACCCTATCGGCCCCAACGCACTCTAGGCTTGGGTGAACGTTTTTATACGAATTCGTGGACATTATAGTGATTATAAAAATGCTCGTTAGAGGAAATCCATCAGCTTAGCTATTCTCGGGGATATTAAAAATCTATGTTTATGCACCCCCTGTTTACCCTTCCACGAGTTTTTGACGCCAAGTGAATTGATGGTGGTATTTTTACGAAGCCCAGGAGCTATGGTATATTCTAACACTATACGATGCACCATTCTTAGAGAGCTGTGTGTCTTCGGAATTCTATGTATATTTTGAAATCATGTAGAAGCTTGGGCCGATTGTTACGCACTGCCTAACTGGTCACAGTTCTGTTAGAAGCTTTCCTGATTAAACTTGCCTGTGCTGATCCTCCAACGTCAACGATCTGTCTCTCAACCGAGCTGTTGCTGCGCACAGTCTTAATTCAGCCTAAGTCCTTTTGAGGGTATCGAGGAACGATGCCAGGTAGAGCGCCGAGTAGATCTATACGGCAGTATTGGTCTGCTCGTAGGTGTTGTCAAGTGATAATATAGTTAATGAGTCAACAGAGTCCAAGGGTAAACACAAGTAACAATGTATGATTGAAGACGAAGAACTAAACTAAGTACATGAGGGAGTGTCCTTATATATCCTTCGTTTCCTACTCCCCTGGAGTCACTGCGGGAGTCACGGGCACGTGATGTCCTTGTTGTCCCAAAGGGTGTTGCTGATGTATCGAGGTACATACACACCAGACTTTAGTCCAACTCAGGGTGGATCATGCTCTTGCTCAGTGAGCATGATCGGGACTTCCTTTTCCTTCGATACCTGGGAACGCCAGGGTATACGGTGTTACACGTGATCTGCTGACAGATAGATCTATTGGCTCTTGGTGGCCCATCTGTGTACCCGGTGGGGCACCACTGATTGGTGACGGGTAGGTTCGTAACATCCGACCGTGTCAAAGTAATCAATATAATCACATAAAGCCTGCTCTTGTTTAGGATTGAGCTTCCTACCATTAGGTGCTCGTTGAAAAAGGGATTTTCCACCTTTCCATCGCCGGCGTAGTCGGTGCATAGGAACCGCGAATTCTCGCGCAGTTTTCGTGATATTGGGCTTTGTCTGCTCCGATAGAGAATCGAGAGCAAGCTGAAGCTGTTTCTCTATGTCCTTATTGGGTTTAGGCATTCTTGGTGGTGTGGTTGACGATCAAAGTAAAAAAGAAAAATGTAAAAAAAAACTTGCATTTGGGTAGTGTGTTGCAAATGGGTGGCAGACCCTCGCTTGCCTCGCTTGCGAGGGTCTGTAATTTTTGTAAAAAATGTAAGGGCCGGTTACAACCAAAAAAATGAGATCTTGTTGTAAACTAGAAGATATGAATCTCTATGAATCTCCAATTGAAAAATTGACCAAACAACGGAAACGATGGTTTCAGACCACAGGGGCCGACTTGGGTGTTAGGAGCACCACACGCTAATCAACTGAGGTATGCAGCCTATCTTTGATGAAGATTTGCTTCAATGGCTTGATTTTCCACAACAAAATTTGGGTTCAATTAAACTACACTATACGACCAAGTGGAAGATTACTAGGGCTGCTTGCATGGATAAAAATCAAATCCAATTGTAGTGGAACTCCCTAGATTTGCTCGACTAGCATTGGCACAATGACCCTTCACTGGTTTGCTTCAAAGGCGCTCTGCACGGATCCGTACCTGAAAAAGTTAGCTTGTTGTTTTTTTTTGAATCAGATCAACTCAGATACAACTCACCCTTGAGGGCACTGGCTACCCAATGCAACACTACCACTGCGCATGTAGCAGACTTTGGCCTTCTGACAGGTGGCAGTAGTGCACTTGGGACTCCGGATACTCTGCTTTCCCTGGTAAGTGTTATGCTGACTGACAAGATCCAGGTCCTTCTCCATGGCCTCGGTAACCCGGTGCCAGAAGGTCGCGTTCAATGGCGCATCCTCATCCCACTCAGCGGCCAGTCCATATGCATCGCGGGTGGAGTATTCAATCTCAAAACTTGGACCCTTGTGCTCTAGAGCGGGATACTCGGACACATTGCTGTAGAAGGTGTATGCTTCGTAGATGTTGAAGTCGCCCGTGTCGACTTCATACAGACGGAAGCCACTGTTGAGATTTGTCAGAGGGGTAATGCTGGGCATGATCCAACCGGTAGTGAGGGCGGTGTCTGCACTCTGCACAGTCCCATTGTTGGCATAGTAAATCATGAACTGGTCCTCGTGGGTGTGTCCAAAGAAGATGTTGGCAATAACGTGGGGCGAATAGCGGTCCACGATCTGGTAAAACAGATCGGTCGGATTGGGGAGTGGATTGGTCCCGTCCCAGCCACTGAGGACATGGCCAATTACCCAGACACGCTCGCCGGCATCCTCAGCTTGTTGCAGTTCTTCGATCATCCAGGAGAAAATCCCAGAGGTATCGGGGTCAGTGGTGTTGATGAAAGTCAAAAAGTTGGATCGGTACCATAAGTCTGTAAGAGTGAGTGAAAGGACGTGAATGGATTCGAAAGGACTGGATGGCAACATACCGGTGTTGAATGCAATGATACGCAGTCCGTAGTGCGTCTTGACGGAGTAACCGCCATAATGCGTTTTCGCCTTGTCGGCGGTCTCACGACTTATCCACCCTTCAAGGCGCCACAGTCCAGCCAGGTGCTCATAATTCCAGCTCTGCTGCTCCCCTAGACGCCCGGGGAGAGTATGAGGAGAATCAATGTTTGCAGGACTGGTGTCATGATTTCCAAGTGCTGCAAAGACAGGACCAGAGAGATAGTGTTTGAACAAGCCGTAAATGCTGGTCTCCGTATATTGAGTCAATGCCTTGGATATTTGGGATGCCGGATCGTGTGATACCAGATCGCCCGTATAGAGCGTCCATGCAAGGTGGTCGTCGTGGTTTCCCTTGCCAGTTCCAGTCAGAGGACCAACAGCTTGCAAAGCGGCAAGACCCAAATCATATGGGGTATCGCACAGGAAAGAGCCATACGCAGAGGCAGATAGCAATGGATTACCTTCGGAGAGGTCGTTCGAGTTGTCGCTCCGGCAGCAGAGGCTGGAAGTGCAGTTTGCTTCGGAACCGACGGCATACCGGGCATCGAGATGGAAGTCTGACAGATGTAGAACCTTGACCCGCTGCCCACTTGCCTTGGGGACCTGGGCATCTGTAGGTTTGGGCTTGGGAAACAGCTTGGTTGTGTCCAGTGGGCTCGTCCTGGGCGCGCTACAATACTTGCTGTTGAGAGAATGACAGATGTACTCACCATCTAACCCTTCTACATCAGCGTATGCCAGTACTTGAGTCCAGATAGCGCCGAATGTGTTCGTGGCAAAATCCTGCTCGCACGTCTCATCGGCATGGAAGCGAAAGGCCTTGCACAAACTGACCATAGCGTCCGGAACAAAGGCTGGTCCGTGCAACGCTGCAGGCTTCGCTGCAGCTAAGGCATTCTTGCATTTGGTGCAGTTGTCTGCTGAACTATTTGACTTGATAATACTGGTCACATTGGATAGTACTTCCTGCACTAGCTTATACCTCTTTCTGGCAGGCATATGAGTTCGCGGCACAGGGAAGTAGACCTCATCCTGATTGTCTGGAATATTGTCTGGGTCCGTCAACTCAAAAGGGAAGGTGAGATCCAACACCGGATCGTAGACAATCGGCTGGGGTTGTTGGGTTGGCTGGGCTGGGGAAAGATAGTAGGCTCTGTTATTCACATTAGCACATCTATGTTCCCAAGTCACCGGAATGTCAACAGTAATCCTACGAGAATGCAGAGGTCGGAAAGCCAGCAGCAGCCACATAGGATGAATCCCCTGGGAGGGAGACAGCAAATGCAAGATTCATCATGAGATGTATAGTGCCTAGGAGGGTTAGGAGGGCTTGCATGTTGAACAAACTTGTATACCCCATTGAGGGAGGGAAATAAGAGATGAACCAAAGGAAGATTGAGACAACAAAAGAAAGAAAAAGAGCAAAAGCAATGGCGAATCTGGTCAGATTTCAAGGACCGAATGCAGGTACGATGCACGTGGTGAAGAGCGTGGATGTGAGTGGAAAGTGATGTTGACAACCCACTTTAGAACAATCATGTTATTCGATGAGCTTCAGTGGCTTGCTATCTAGCATACATAATCTTTGTTGAATGACCGGTCTCTTAATGACCCTTAATTCCGGTAAATCAAACACAATTACACAATAGGATCGCCATTTCAAATCCCACAAGCCTGGTCAAAATGCCCATTTGTTTAACTTATAATGGCCTAGCGTTGAATGCTGTTCTGGGTGACTACCAAATGATTGAGGCTCATTGGGTTGAAGACACATGCACGAGAAGTTGTGTCAACTACACCATCCACAGCGGTGACGGGGCAACTGGTTGACCTCGAGACGGCAGATTACTTGTGTCCCTGAGCAGGAGAGCCGTCAATGGGGTGGCTGGCTCGAGGAGACGGTGACAATTTTTTCGCGCCCCTGTAGGAAATCTCCCCAGGAAGAACACTACCCAGATGAACATACCAAAGTGTCATTGGGAGTAATTGGGAAATGAACATGGCTCTAAGCGGGATCCAAGTGAAACCCAGAGAAGTGTCGTGGGCATGTGAGGTTTGGGAACCTCACGGATCGCGTACTGTTGCGTGAGCAGGCTGCTGTTTTGGAATACTGGGGACCAGGAAATCCGAAGCCTGTTGAGCTTGACGAATTTTTGACTCGACTCGGCGGCGATGAAGAGCGACTTGGTGGATCCCAAGAAGCAGGCGACATGTAGAATTGTATGGCCATGTCGCTGTACAGCATAGCATAGATGCTGGACTGCCACATTCCTTTGTGGGCACTGAGTCAATCAACCTTGTGCGTGTTCATCTGGAACTAACTCAGTAATCAAATCGACGAGGATGGTGCCGATGAAATTTTGCAGTTTTACCTCAGTCATCGGATGCACTTGTTCCAAGACAACAAGTGCCTTGGCATCTTGCTCGGGCTGGCAGGGTTATCGTGATAGAAGTTCCCCATGGCCTGGCACACGCGAGCAAAAACAGCAGGTTCAGTGCTGAAGCGCCAGAGGTCCAAGGGGATAGTGTGTCAACCACCACCCAGAGAGAAAGAGAGAGTGAAGGAAAAGGAAACCACGAGGACGATCTGAAGATCAACCTCAACAGCCCATTTTAATCTTGAGAGCCCTTCGAAGTTCCAGTAGAAGGAGCCTGAATGCAGACAAGTTCAACCATGATGTCATTTGGGCCGTCCGGTGGTGCGCTATTATAAGCAGGGGCGCGACTGATGATGCCAACTGCCACCTGGGAAGCTTGGTTGCGGGCGTTCATGTTATCGAGATACCAGACCTGCCAAGGCCAAGCGCCCGAGCCAGGTGGCATGATGGTGACGTTCTGATCCGGGACTCGTTCTTTGGCGAAATCTAGAAAGGTTAGAACCGGCCGCCGAGAAGGCAGAAGAATTGACGTACCTTGGACTGGAATGGCCGCGACATCAAGAGTGGGTGGTGGGCACGAAGGCAGCGACGGAGGCTTTATCAACATGTTGTTGAGAACGACCTCGAGAGGCTTGGAATAGTATTCGCCCGACACCGCAAGAAGGTAAATGCCATTCTGCAGAGCGCTCTTAAGATCACGGGAACAGTCATCCCCCCAAATCCCATCGCATCCGTTGTTCCCCCCAGAAGGGGTACCGGTTAAATTGCCGATCCTGAGTCCAATTTCCGAGGTGCGATTTGAGTCGACCGCGTTTACATTGATGTTGTCATTTTGATATCCCAGCCAAAAGGCCGTTTTGGTCATGGGCCCCGCGCCCTTGCCAGAGGAACTGGCATCAAAGCTGTAGTAAAGCGTGACGGGGTCCGGAAAGAGAGGTTTGAGGTCGAAGCGAATTGCAGTCTGAGCGAGCGAGTCGATGCATCCGTTATTCCAAAAGGAGCAGAATTGAGCCGATACAGTTTGTAGCAAAACCATCAATAGGGTCAGCGACCCGAGGCGCACATTGAAAGCCATATCGTAAAGGGGGGGGAGGTTTAATTGAATTGTCCAGGAAGAGTGACCACGGAGGCCCTCAGGTGTCAGGATTATCGAGAGCAGAAGGGTACAGCAAGTTCATTTCGAGGAAAGGAGGTAATGGAAAGAGGGTGGGAGATTAACTGATAAAAGGCAGTGGAAGCCAGGGAAACGGGTCCCCGCAATACCTACTAGGGTCCTTTTCAGTGAAGGAAATAAGGCTAGTCTCAGTGAAACCCCCCAAAAAAAGATCGGATGTTATTTCACTAGGGAGACGAGTAATGGAGCTTCCGGGAGAACCTTGGAAATGAGAAAAGAAATGCCGAGTGATTGCCAAGACAAGAAACCAAACCTCCGTACGGAGTACCAGGAAGTATTATTTCAAGGAAAGTACAGCGTACAGCGTACAGCGTATGGAGTACAGCGTATCGAGTACGGTTATTTTGTCATTGCATTCCTGAAAAGATATAATTTTGGGAAACTCGGGTACCTGCTGGGTACCTCAAAGGTACTTGATGCACAGCAGTGGAGTCTGGTTAAAGACAAGTCTCCTTGAGGTACCCCCTTGATTGGAATGGGGAAAATACTGCTTTTCCACGCTAAAACCAAATGGCCCATGGCCAGCCCCAAAGGGGAAATTATTGACGACGATCACCAACAGGATCAAGCAGGGTCCACTTAGACATGACCATCTGCCTCACAGTTGGCCTGTATTGGTATTATATCGATCCTTTCTCTATTCAGAGTCAAGGTCAGATCTCCCTCAGATCATTGATGTGCATGAGGTCATGCTCATTCCCGATGTTTCATGTCGTGTCTGGAGACGGAGACACTTACTCCGTATACTGGAGTTAGAGTACGGAGTACACAGTACGGAGATACAAGTCCTGACAATAATAACCAATAGTACACTATAGCCATGTGAGATCTGTGCGATATGCGCCATGATGCACCGATTGCCAGATGTGTATACAACATCATCCTTACCTGTCTTCCGACAGGCTTAATGCAATAGCTTCTCTGACGTAAGAAAAAAAACCCAGAAAGAATCGGCCACTTTGGGGAATCTGACTGCGTCATTTGGTTTCGAGGCACTGAAATATGCTCTCATTGGTGTTTCAATCTCAGGTTCGCGTGTTTTCCGCCAGGGGTTATTGGCTGATTCGGCCCGTTAGCGTGCAATAATGTGTATCGCGAGACACCGGAGTCCACAATCCACTTAATTCCAGCAATTCTCCGGGGGGCTATGTTTATGTTACTCCGTGCTCCATGCTTGGAGATAAATCCCTTTGCTGAACCTGCAAGAAAACCCCAAGTCAGTTGTACTTGGTAAATGGAATGTCGGCTTACCTCCCTAAAATCTTGGTATGCACATATGTACGGAAGAGTCACCTAGCCTAAACCCATCCCTACTATCTACTCACCTGCAATCCAAATCTTGGTATGGAGTAGAAACGTCTAAATTATCAATCAATACACAAAAAGGGAAACATGGGTGATTTTCAAGTTCGAGTCACAGAATTAAAAATTAGAACAGATGGCTCGGTTACCAACAATACTAACACACAAAAAAAACCCCCACGAGTCAATTTGGGGCGGTGAAGTTTAGAACAATGCTCCAATTTACGCTCTCAAAAGGTCAACCAAGGTTCCGCAGCACACCTGGGCATTCTGCGATCTGTTGATAACGAAAGGATACCAATTTGCGAAACCTGACCCTATCAGACGCGTTGAGGTTGTCATCGACAGCAGAGTAGACATTTCAACCTCGGGTGTTTGCGCCTCGTTCAAAATTGTCAAGCGGGCCGCTCAATTTCAGGTGGAGTGCGCCGAGTACTCCGTACTTTGACGCCTGTTCCGATGACAGCGGATGCACGTGCAAAGTACGAACGGTGCCATGAATGTCATCTGAGGCCAGGGCCGCCACCCCCGGCAACGCCGCATTGCTGACGCAGAAAATGCCACACCTCTTGCCGCTACAATGGCTTGGACTTCCATGCCTGGAACTGCTTGAGCTCGATGGGAGCCATCCGCAAAAGCTCCTTGGGCCGTGCTTGCGGTGATTGGCACAAACTTCACCAGCGGGTCCGCCTGACTTGATGACGTCCGCAGCATTTTGCAGTTTGCTGGCAGTGAGCCCCAGGTCATCCTCAGCAGCGGGCAGAGGGATGAGCAAAGCCGAAGGTGAGGCGGGTCACCCTTTGCCGGCAGGTCACGGTGTAGTTGATCTCCATCTTGTCTTTCAGCTTACTTATCTTCATGCTAAAACAAAAAGAGCAATCGATAAACGAAAGGGGTTGGGAACTTCAAAATTATCAACGATCTTTTGTGAGGAATGGGAGGGCTAGTTGTGTGGGGCATATTGACATACTTCAACGCTTGTTTTGGCACCCTAGCCGATATCAGGAGCAAGACGCGTTCTGCAAAAAGTCGGAAACAACTCTTAGACTTGTTGACCAGTTGTTTGCACCTGAAGCACCCAGGTTATTTAGCTCAATCAACAATAGACTAGACAGATATGCACTAGTTGCAATGGAAATCCTTCTTAACAATGCACCTAGATGACGAAGAGAGAAAATTGCTGCGTATTATACAATGAACCTTGCAATGAGCGGTAAAAACATGTCCCTTGAACTTAAATACATGTACACCCCAGAGGCTTTGCCTCATGCAAAAACATAGACATACGAATTCGAATATCAACAACCAGAAAAGATTTGTGGGAGAGTTTCAATCATGTCCCCACGCCAGAACTCCACGCTTTTAATCAGAATGCAATGACGGGTACATAGCCCAAGCAAAAACAAGACAATCCAAAACAGAAAATCACGACTTGTCATTTTCAATAGAGCGGTCCTTGCCCTGCCGCCAGACACGCTTCCACGTTCCGTCAGGTCCGAAAGCTGCCTCTCGGTCTTGGCGCATGCCTTCGAGGACAGCAACAACACCACCACTGCGCAGACGCTCAAGGACAATGTTCATGCCTTGCTTGCTCTTCAATACCGCCTCCTTAGTCCGACTCACACCAATGAGCTCAATGGTGCGCTGGATGCCGGCAGTAGAAAGGGACGAGAAGAATCCTTTGCGAGGCTCTTCATCTTCCTGGTCACCGGTATCAGGCTTCTTCCTTCCAAGCAGCTTGCCCTGTCCAAGTCGGGATCGGAAGGTGACTGTTGTCTTGACACTAGTCAGCTCGGAACTTTTGTCGACGGCGAGACCATCGAGAGCCCGGCGATCCTCGTCGGATGGGAGCCGCTTGTAGCATTGCTTCTCGACCACACTCAGGATGCCCGTCCACTCCATGTTGCGGGATTCAGTCTCCATCCACCCTTCCTTGGCATCAACAATGGTCTTTTCAAGAATATAGCTCTGACCGGAATTATCCGAGCCACCCATGCCTTTTGGCAGAAGCTTAAGGATTCCAGACGGGACCTTGGACTTTTTTAGGTGTAGCCGGGTTGTGTGAAGACGCTGTGTCTTGGGGTCGACGTATCTGTCGATAACATCGGTTGTGAGAACATGTTGTGAGTAAGGATTGGGATAGCGGAGAAAATAGGCAAGGGAAACGGCAGAGAAAGAGTAATCGTAGGTAAAATTGTTTTCGAAAAACTTCATGATGGCCTTCAGTGATTCATGTAGATGGATTGATTGAGAAACACAAAGAGCAAGGAGTCGTCTGATCCAGTCCTTTTTGCGAAGAGCAAAGGTAGAAGTGGGGACCGACGGGGATGAACAGTTATTCCGAGGGAAATCAGATGCTTGAGATCACATCTCACGTGGTCCGGGGGATTAAGCCGATCATCGGCCAATAGCTCTTCTACGTTTTTAATGATGTGGGATAATACATCCAGGACTTCAACGCTTTATGCGACCTATTGTGGAAAGGAATGCTCGTGGGAAAAAGAGAGTAAACCGATGGCTCATATTCTCAGCAAATGCATAGCTGTAGCGATCAAGAAGGGCATATTATCGCAGCTCTTGCCACATCGTGGCCTAGCTGTGCAGGAAAGCAAGGAATTATCAAATCTTACTCTGGTAGTCAAATGAAGTACATCACAAATGCTCTACCGACTCATTCCCCCCTTTCTCATGATCCTCATCCTTTCCTCTCCCTCTCTCCTTTGCCCCGTAAGCACGTGGGTTGAAATCACTTGTTAAAGCGGGGAGCAAGAATGAACATTCTTCTGACCAGTAAATTCTCATTCAACATATATACATATATATAAATATATATACATATGTAGAAGGCCCAGTATTTGAGCCCAAGGGTAGTGTATACTACCGTTCTGGCCTGGAAGAAGAGACACGCCCTAGCGGATAAAATGTGGTACTCACGTTCCGATCCTGGATCTTTCTGTCGCGGATTTCACTCAGTACATGAGCAAGATGGAAAAGCTCTCCAAGGCCGTGTGTCATGTCACTGGATCAAAACATTGCGGTTTAGTCTCGAACGGTGACAACTCGGTGACCTTGTTGCCCTTCCCCAAACTTCAAGTCATAGGGGCCGAGATTCCCAGTGATGAGTTGGAGTACTATCCCGTTTATCCAGGCTATCTTTCGTCCAAGAATGGTCCCAAGATGACGTCAGAGTTCCTAAGCGATGTTTCTGGGAAGGTCACTGCTGTGACTGGTATTGCACCAGATGGTCAGTTCGATAAGACCTTCTTCGGTGAAGCCGCGGACCAAGATCTCATGGCCCGCCTTATCAGGGGCGATCTACCGCAGCATCGCATTTGGGAAGATGCCGGACATGCCGCCATGATCTCTCCTAAGGGCAAAGTTCCAGGATACACAATCGTCGTACCTCGCGCCCATCTGGCTCCCGACCTCCTCAACCTCCCCGACGAGGAGTATGACTCACTTATTGCAGCCAGCCATGCTACTGCTCGTGCATTGATGCTAGGTCTTGGAGTAGCTCGTTGTGGAATGTTTTTTGAAGGGTTTGAGGGCCACTACGCTCATACCAAGATCATTCCAATCCACGAGCCCTCTCCCTCCCAGCAACTCGATATCGCTGTCCGAGGCCCCGCGCCCTATAGTGAGGATTATCAGGGGTATATGACTACCCAACTAGGACCAACGGTAAAGGACGAGGCCGCGCTAATTGTTCTCGTGGAGAAAATTCGTGCTGAGGTTGATGCACTGAAAATTTGAGGGTGACGGCAGCCCGACTGTTGGTTGGAGTGTATGAGTTGAATCCTTCTATTGTGCTCTTAGTCTTATTTTCATAAACATGGATGATTGTCATGCAAATTTTGTAAATTCAACTCTATCAGGTCTGCCTAAATTCTAGTCCCCTTTCCATGAAGCTTCCATTAGAACAGGTTCCTTTGGTTTCTTCACTAATTAGTCTACTGACACGCATGACACCGCGAAATGGGTGTTCCTTATTAAAGGGAGACAGACAGGCTTCTTTGATTTGGTCTAAAATTTTTTTTCGAATGAAACCAAGTATGGATGGAGGAAAAAAGACAGGGAAAAAACCCCATCAGATGACTGTCCCTTCTGTCTCTCTAGACTCTCCCGTTGATTATCCCTCATTCCCCCTCATTCACCCCCCCTCTTACAAATCCGGACAGACCCTTCTGATATGCTCACATATCTGTTTAGCCGCCTCATCCGGCGTGAAGTTGGACACATCTATTTCTAAATAGTTTGGGTGACCGGTGAAGCGATGTACATCCCCCTCACGACGGAACTGGGTGACGAGTTCCACATCTGTCAGCTTTGCGTGCAATTCTCGATCCGACGAGACCAGGCGCTGCATATTGGTCTTTTCGTCGCAGAAGAGCAGGATAGGTACGAGGGCAGCATGCCGTGCTTCTGCGGTGGCGAGATATTCTGCACAGACGGTGGCGCCGAGTTCGTCGTCACTCTGGAAATCCGTAAAGACGTAGGTTGTGTCGAACGTCGCGGGTTCATTGATGAGAGCGGAAAATATAGAGTTCCGGATTCCGCGGCGAAGGGTTTGATAACCTGGCTGAGTGCGGTGGAGAACAGCATCGGCGGGATTTATCAGGAGGTGGTTATGCACGAGTTTTGCAGAAGGAAGTTGCTTTGCAAGGTAGCGGGCGATGGTAAGCTTTCCGACACCGGGGAAGCCATTCAGATGAACAATCGGGCGCCGTGGTCTAGTGATCACTGAAGCGGTCATAGTGGGCGTGATGTGACCGTGTACAGATGGCAGTGTGGCCAGTGAAGGGTTGTAGAATGACAAAAGGAGTCAGCGCGATGGAGAGAGCGCGGGTTGAATGAGGAGCAACGGCTGTGCCACTCGAGAAAAGGGTAGTTAAAAGGCTTGGGACCTTTGCAATTGAGGAAAACAACTTTCCCTGGTGAGTGTCGTCCGATTTTGAGGAGGGTTGTTTTCTAACAAATTCAATTGGCTCTGTCTATCAGACGAGACATCCAAACGAGCTAGTGCTGCAGGGCCACCAAGCCTTGCGACGTTCAAGTGGGGGTCTCATTTATGAGGAACGCTAATCATCGTTCATCTCAGCCATTCTTTTTTTTTTAACTAGGACTGCCCTGCATTATGGTGTCGGAGGTCAGATCAGATTGCAGCCATTGAATGAGAGAGTCTGGAATATCCAGATAAGACATCTTGAATGCACGGCTAGGACGATGCAGGAGTTCATGAGATGTGAACGTGAGGTCCCCTATATCATCTTTTGAGTCTTGACTTTGTTTCCCGTCATGAAAGTAGATTTACAGAGACAAGATGGCCGACCGTGACCTCCTTCCAGACAATGTGAAGCCCATTCACTACCGTGTCTCGCTTTTTTCCCTCGATTTTATGGACTGGACTTATCGGGGAACAGTGATGTGAGCATTTCCAGGGTCAATTAAATTCGCACCAACTCACAAACGCTCTGTAGAATCGATGTCCAAATTGTCAAATGCACCAGCCAGATCACGCTCAACAGTTTCCAGCTCAGGCTGTCCCATGCGAAGATCGTCTTGGATCAGACAAAGCCTCCTCGAGATATAGAATCCACAACTTTCACATATGATGAGCCAGCTCAGCGCGTCACTATTATCTTCAACCAGGAGCTGCCCGTTTCCCAGATGGCAGCTATAAGCATCGAGTTTGAAGGGGTCATAAACAACGAAATGGCCGGCTTTTACCGCAGTAAATATAAACCAGCTGTGACACCTGTCAAGTCGGTTCCTCACCGTGATGCATGGTACTACATGCTCAGCACCCAGTTTGAGCCGTGCGATGCCCGCCGTGCCTTTCCATGCTTTGACGAGCCCAACCTTAAGGCAAGCTTTGACTTTGAGATTGAGGTCCCCGTCGACCAAAGTGCCCTCAGCAACATGCCTGTCAAGAACACTAGGCTCACCAAGGATGGGTGGAACCGGGTCAGATTTGAGACAACCCCTGTGATGAGCACTTACCTGCTCGCTTGGGCAGTGGGCGACTTTGAGTACGTTCAGGCTCATACCGACCGGTTCTATAACGGCAGGCAGCTTCCGGTGCGCGTCTATACTACCCGTGGCCTCAAGGATCAAGGCCACTGGGCTCTTCAGCACGCCACCAGGTTCATCGATTTTTTCTCCGAAATCTTCGACCTGGACTACCCACTTCCCAAGGCCGATTTGCTTGCCGTCCATGAATTCAGCCACGGTGCCACCGAGAACTGGGGCCTTTCCGCCTACCGCACCACTCAGCTTCTCTTTGATGAGAGGTCTTCTGATAGCCGTTATAGGAGGTCGGTTGCCTACGTGGTTGCCCACGAGCTGGCTCATCAGTGGTTCGGCAACCTGGTTACCATGGACTGGTGGGATGAGCTATGGCTAAACGAGGGGTTCGCCACTTGGATCGGGTGGTATGCTGTTGACTACCTGCACCCTGAATGGCAGGTTTGGGTCCAGTTTATCAATCAGGGCCTGGATTCTGCCTTCCATCTTGACGGTATCCGTGCCAGTCATCCTATCCACGTCCCCATCCGCGATGCACTAGACATTCATCAAGTCTTTGACTCCATCAGCTACCTCAAGGGATGTGCCTTAATTAGAATGCTGGCTAGCCATCTCGGCGTCGGGACTTTCCTGAAGGGTGTCTCAACCTACCTCAGGACCCATGCTTACACCAACGCCAAAACCGAGGCACTGTGGACTGCCCTGACCCAGGCTTCTGGAGAGGATGTGCATACTCTCATGGGTCCTTGGATCTCCAACGTTGGCTACCCTGTGCTGTCAGTTGCTGAGGTAGCTGATACAATCTCCTTAAAGCAATCACGATTCCTGTCAACCGGTGATGTCAGGTCCGATGATGACACCACCATCTGGTGGGTGCCTCTGGCGCTCAGGCGCCAAACGGCACAGTGCGATGTGGCAGGCCTATCGTTGACGCAAAAGGACGACACCATTCACAAGATTGACGATGAATTTTATATCCTCAACAGTGGCGCGATCGGGTTTTATCGTGTCAACTACCCTCCCTCTCGCTTAGCCAGTTTCAGCACTCAGCTTGACAAGCTGAGCATCGAGGATAAGATTTTCATAATCGGATCCGCCGCTGACCTTGCATTTTCCGGCGAGGGCACAACGGCTGCACTCCTGACCTTCCTCGAGGGCTTTGGCGACGAGAGACACCCACTAGTTTGGACCCAGATTCTCGACTCTCTTTCTCGAGTCAAAGCCATTTTCTCCGACGACGAGGAGATTAAAAGGGGTCTTGAGAGCTATGTCCTCCGACTCATTGACAAAAGGGTCAATGAAATTGGCTGGGAGTTCGTCGAGGGCGAGGATTACCTCATTGGGATCTTGCGAAGGGAGTTAATTAACATCGCTGCCGCCAGTGGCCATAGTTCGTTAGTATTACTCTCTATCTCTCTCTCTCTCTCTCTTTCGCTCGGATCTTCCATTGATGCGTCGCTAACCGGGTCTTTCAGTGTCGTGAATGAGGCTAACAAGCGCTTCAAATTGTGGGCTCAGGATCCTGTGGCCAACCCGATTCATCCCTCGCTAAGGATTCCTATCTGGTGCAACGCCATCCGCCAGGACCCGGTTCGAGCCGTCGAGATTCTCAAGGAGGAGTGGTTCATGACCAACTCTATTGACGGGAAACCAATCTGCCTCCAGGCCCTGTCGGTGACCGAAGACGAAGATCTTCTGCGAGAATCCATTGTCCCGTTCAACTTTAACTCTACCCCGGATCACGCGGTGCCGGCTGCTGACATGCGTATCCTCGGCATAGGGTTGGCGGCAAACCCGGTCGGCCGTGTGGTCCAGTGGGAGTATATGAAGCAAAACTGGGACGCCTGCCTATCGAAAATGGGCAATCCCATTATTGTCGACCGTTTTATCCGTGTCAGCTTAGCCGGATTCACGGACGAATGTGTCCTTGACGACATTGGCTCGTTTTTCAAGGACCAGGATACTCGTTGCTTTAACCGGACACTCGCCACGGTCAATGATCACATTCGCGGCCGGGCAACGTATAGAAAGCGTGACTCTGCCCCCATCAAGGATTGGCTGGGGGTTAATGGATATCTGTGAAATCTGACAAGCGTCGGGGAGCATGTGGAATTTTGGAGTGACGGGGTTGTGTCTGCTCTATCCAAAACAGGTCGAGTCTGACACAAGAAGCGTTGTCTAATGTCTGAACCGGTGAGACCTACAAGTAGCGACAAAGACCCAAGTGCTGCTATACCAAACAATTACTTTGCTGCGAAATTGTGTTCGCTCATGACGATACGCGGTTTTGATGCCCTGGATGTTTAAATGCCCATAACAGAGGACCAAGTGTTCCTGTAGTGTTGAATGTTGCTTGCCAGGGTTCATTATGGATCATTCAAAGCCCAATCATATTTTGTCAGGTAATGTGGCAATTTTAACGTAGTAGCTTAGGTAGGGTTTTGCAGGGCACATTCAGATTTGGGTCGGAATAGATAGCTAATAAACAGGCAGGTAACTGCACGTCGAATCTCCTCTTCCCGCTCTTGCTCTTTGTTAACCCTTAGAGAGGAATAGGATTGAGATAATTCTCTAAATTGCATCAATCATCCCAGGGCAGAAGACGAAAACACCAGTTTTTCAAACTCTTATTGCGCCATTCAATTGCCACTGACAATAAAAACTGATTTCCGTCCACCCTTTCTTAGCTCGGTACATGTGCAAGGACCTCGAAGGACATCGCACTTCAACCCTTGACAGTTCAAAACAAACAACGTCCAAAGCAAGGACAACCCGAGCCGAGGGTTAGTTAAGAGTTGATGATGCACGACGCCCACCATCATTCCACATCATAGATATGCTTCGAGAAACGAACGATTGAGAAATGGGAAGATCACTCAGTGGTGTACGGTGCGCAAGCCAACTATCGGTCTTGATCTACGATCAATCCCCGACTCCCAGCGTCATCACATCGGCATCAAGCTCCCGCGCACAAGCCTCACCAGATCGGCACTAGATCGGCACTAGATCCCACTTCGGCACTAGATCCCACTTCCGGTGTACATCATGCAGGTCGAGGCGTGCTTAGAAGGATGGTATGGCGTGATGGTTAGCCTATCAGACCAAGATATATGATCTCCACGGGGGTGGCTCCTTGTGGTCGCAGAGGCATCGTAAAACTTTGTCTCCAACCTCAGGCCGCTCAGGTCGCGAATTTGAGTGCCAAACAAACGTTCTCTGCTATCAAATAGCCCGCGGAGAACTGTTGGACCTACGGGAGAAGGTTTATGTGAAATTTAATGCGGTATGGACTTGGCCAATTGGCTCTTGTCGTGGGGTGGGGGAAAGGTGAGGAGAGGGTCTTCATAGTTCACCCCGAAGGGTTCTGATCTCCTCCACGGTGATATCAAGAGAACAGCCCTGGAGCATGACAATCATTCTATCATGGGTGGGGAGTGTATCCTCTCCTTTTTTGACTTCAATAGACAGAAATTTTGGCTTTTGGCAACAAGGATCAGGTCCGCCTGTTTCGGGTTAGGCCTTGCTCTGGCCTATAACATGGTCATGGCTATTTCTCGTCTTCATTTTCACAAAGCTTAGTCGGTTCTCAGGGCCTCGTCTTGCTGCCACAACAGGGTTGAATAAGATTTACTTTTCTGCTTGGGGTCCTGGCATTTTTGAGCATGCGACTGACAAAAATGCACCGGAGATTGGGTGTGCCATCGGGCATCCATGGGAAAGTGAGATTCAATCTGACCCTTTCTAGGTCCGGTCGTTCGTATTACCCCCGATGAAGTTCACATCAACGCCTTGATTAGCTCACGGGTTGGACTATTTTTTTTTTTCTCTTCCCTCAAGAGAAGAAAGTTCAGCCAGTCGGAGAAAGTGACAAAGTACGAAGTAGAAGACGAAGACATTCAGTCTAAGTTTACGCCAAGTTGACATCTTTGGCCTCCGATATCGCTTGTCAGTTCTCTGGCCCCAAGCTGGAGTCACTTGGGAGGCGAAGAAATGGGCATCGGGATTGGCACAAATTGACAAAGACTGGAGATAAGGGCACACTGACTTCAATCCCCGCGAAAAGGTGGAGTCCGGCTTCTCTCGCGAGTGGTCCACCAGCAGCCGTTCCACAATCCGACATACCCAGGGATATTGGAGCTCAGCGTGGAATCCCGGGCTTTGTCGATCAGAAGAAAGGAACAAAGAAACAAAGGATCATAGAATAGGAAGGTCCAGGCCCTTTTTTTTGGGTTTTTTTTGGGGGGTTTTGTTTTTGGCTGAACGTCGAAAAGCTCCGCTTTTCCGATTCTGCCCTTGTCTTTAAAAGGACCCCCCAGCAGCCACTTAGCCCGATCGATGAATTCGTTTTCATCTGATATTTGTCATTCCCACATCTCTGCGCACACATTCTATCTCGATTGAATCGTCATGGTATGTTTGCGCCCGTGTGCTCGTTGCGAACCACCCGGCCTCTACAAGCCCAGCGTATCGCGAAGATCCCCTGCAGATCCAGCACAATGCGCAGATCCCGGCAGACCCGAAAATACAGCGCTAACACAATCGTGTCGAACAGCCTCACGCCGACTCCTCCTATTTCATGCCCGGTAGCTCCAAGGCCGAAATCTACGAACAGCTCCTGCTGTCGATACAAGGTCTCCTGGACGGCCAACGGAATTGGGTCAGGTGAGTCACCACACGAGATCCATATGCGCGCTTCAACAAGACTTGCAAACCCTTGAAAGCATGGTTGCTTACGATCCACCAGCAACCTCTCCAACGTCTCTTCCCTCCTTTGGCACGCCTACGCTTCCCTCCCCGCCCCCTCCTCATCCGTTAATTGGGCTGGATTCTACATCCGCGATGACAAATTCCCGGCGCTCGCTTCCCCGGTCTCGTCGCCGCCACTGTCTGGTGCACCCGGCTGCGGCAGTGTGACCATCTCAACTACATACTCTTCCTCGGAGAATCAGCTTCTTCTCCTCGGGCCGTTCCACGGGAAGCCCGCGTGCCAGGAGATTCGTTTTGGAAAAGGCGTTTGCGGTACCGCGGCCGCGAAGCAGGAGACCGTTCTTGTTCCTGATGTTCTGACCTTCCCTGGACACATTGCCTGCGACGCAGAGAGTCGCAGTGAGATTGTTGTGCCTATCTTGGTAAATGGAGAGGTGAGTGTTTCTTTCCTGACGACGTTGGCGCGTTTTCTGGAGACCCGTTGGGCTTGGAGGAAGGGGGGAGGGGGACATGCTCACATCTTCATTAACAGACCGTCGCGATCATTGACATTGACTGCACCGAGCCCTCTGGGTTTGACGAGGAGGATAAGAAGTACCTTGAGAAATTGGCTGCCTTCCTGGCTGAGAATTGCGACTGGTAAAAGCACCCAATTGAGATATCGATTTCTTACACACTGGGGTCCACGAAGGACCTGGGCTTAGGTAAATAAAGGTGTTCTTCTTATTATTGCGCATCTGAGCGGTTGTTGTCAGCTATTTGGGTGCAAAGCTGTTTCCCTGGTGTAGTTCGTACTCGATCCAAAATTCTGCGCATGCGGCAACGACTCATGAGCCACAAATAGACTCGTGTGATCACGCTTTGCACCGGTAATAAGGTGAACGGCGAGGATGATCGCTGCTCGGATCACTACTCGGATCACCGCTCGTCGGCTGTCTCATCACACCGTCTCCCACAGGAAACAGAATCTCAGATCCGACAAAGCCACATCGTGTTTGCCTTATTTGGAAGCTGAGGGGGTCTACGCCCCGAGACAACCTTTCTTTCACGCTGCCTTCACTGGCGTCAATTATGGAAAGGGGAAATTGGCATCATTCCAGATCCATTGTAGCATCCCACAGTTAGACGTGACAACAAGGAGACAAAATCATGGTCGACCCGCCGAAGGCTTTCAATTCAAGCCGTGGAGGCAACATGTCATGATCTATTGACGCAAAATTCAAGACAAACAGCAATGCAGATGCTTTCCGGTCCGACATTCGTCGGTAACAACATAGTTCCAATGCAAACCAAACTCCGAGCGAACCTCATCACGCTAGGGTTGAGAAATGAGAATAGAGGAAAACACCGAGACCCAAACGTTAAGAAAAAGGTATAGAGCACAGAAGGAAATCGAAAATCGCTAACACGCACAAAACATCACATACTGAGCAAGCTCATTTGTCGACGCATGGGATTGGGCGACAGGTCATCCCCATCCTCACTAGGACCAATGCCGCTGTCTGTACCGGCGATTATAGTGTCCATATCGATGTCCCACTGTTCGTCTTCATTGATATCACCGTTCAAATCCGCGTCGGCATCACCACCATCCCAGCTTTTCTGGACCGCACCGCGAGTGTTCCACCGCAGAGCACGTTGGACACTTGTGAACCATTCATTGTTGTTGGAAACGACCGTTGGAAATGGATACTGGCTAGCTTCGACAGTGACGTAGTCGCCTTGGCGGAGTTCGACACGGCCCTTGCCGTCAAAGGAGCAGTAAGCAGTGGACCGGGAGGATTTAGGGACTGCAATACGGAGTAGATGCGAGTCCGAGAGGACCATTGGGCGGAAGGAGAGGGTGTGCGGACAGATAGGGGTGAGGAGGATACCCGGGATAGATGGGTGCATGAGAGAACCGCCGGCGGATAGAGAGTATGCCGTGGAACCAGTCGGTGTAGAGAAGATACAGCCGTCTGCTTGGACGACTGTAAGCAGCTCGTCATCGGCGTAGAGCTCCAGGTTGGACACATATGGGGACGGGCCGCGGTCAATAACGAGCTCATTCAGTACTTCGAATTGTTCACCCTCCTCGACAGCGCCCGCCTCTGCTCCTTTGCTCCTGTCTTTCCGATACACAGTACATGTGAACCGCATGCGCAAGTTGACACGCATGCCCACCTCGCCCATCACGGCGTTCAGCTGTGACTTGTAGTCGGAAAACTCGAAATTTGTGAGGAAGCCCAAGCTGCCCAGCGAAAAGCAGAGCACCGGCGGAACCACGCGCTGAAAGAGCCAAGATGTGAAGAGAACGGTACCATCACCACCCAGCGTCAACACCAAGTCGAATTTATCTGGGGATGTCCAACACAGATCCGGTGTCCAAAAATGTAACATCTGCGCAAACATCGGGTCTTTTTGTAATAGCCCCGGAGCATCGAATCGTTTCGAATTGCGCAGTTTCGCATCTACATAAACATTGACGCCTAGCTCATTTCCGTATCTTGAGGTCGAAAGCAGCCACTCGGCAACTTCCCGAGTCAAGTACACCAGGCTGTTATCACGCGCCTTGGTGATAATCATGACATTTCGCACCGCCCGTTTGATAGGTCGTCGTTGTAATTGCTTAGATACTTCACGGACTCCGGTTGCCGTCTGAACTAGTCGCGAATGTGACAGCCACTCGTCATCAGCAATTTCCTCCAATACCTTTTTAATGTTGACGGCATCGTCGAAGCGTTGATGGAAATAACATGGCGATTGGAGTATGAGACGCGCCGTAGCAGGTGATCGATCGAGATACCCCGTCAATTGAAGATTTGACAGTGCGGTAGAAAGGTTATGGGAGGAACCATTGCTCCCCCGCCGTTGCAGGTTGTCAGAAGGCGGGGAAGCCTGGGTGGATTTATTCGCGAGCGGACTCGACACGGAACTCGCCGACATGTTGGTGTTACTGTTGAGGACCGAAGCCCGGGAGGCCAGGGCTTTCAAAATGGTCTGTCGCGGTATACAGTCGGTCGACAACGCTTTCTTTGATCGCTGATTAATCGACTTCCGGTGAAACGACCGCAAGGGCGAGGAAGGTAGCGATAAGCCTGTGACCGCCTCGTGAGCCGATTCGGGGGTTTGTGTGGGCACGATATTGGTTCCTTGAGGAAGACGGCGATTGTCCTGGGTCGGGGGTTCTATGCTGAAGGCATTATCGCGAAGCAGCGCCGCGGTAGTTGGAAGTGGGGCTTTAAAAGACGGAGATAGAGGGTGAGATGGGGCTTGTGACATAGATAGGTGTGAAAGTGTGTCAGACCGTAGGTTGTCACTGCTGAACGCCATCGGCTTAAGCGGCAGGTAAGTAAGAATTGGGGGGAAGGGGGGGGGGAGGAATCAGGAAAAGAGCTCGGATGTAACGGGGATTGCGGAGCCGAAGCCTTGAGATCTCAGCTGCGTCCCCTGTAAGGATGTAAGGATGTAGACCTGGTTGATATTGATTCTACCGTATTCCACGTCTTTGGCTTTGGCTTTGCCCTTCGTATTTTTTTTTGCTTTCCTTTTGTTTTGTTTTTTTGGGTTTTTTCGACAAGGATCCGGACACACTTAGGACTAGTAGGGTAAAGATTGACGGCAGTTACAAAGTACATCGAAAGAGATTCGAAAATGACCGATCACGGACCTCGATAATTACACTAATTTAGGGGATTATTTAGATTGGTTTCTGATGTTGGTGAGATTCCCCCAGAAAGTTCCATCATTGGTGAATCTGACTAGTCCGTGCAGTGTGCTCAGATACATGACCTTTGCACTGTGATATCTTACGGAGTAGAGATAAGATGATTACACTGCTTATATATGATGGGGATAATGATGGTAATGATAGGGTGTGGTGTTTCTTTTTTGATATTTCCATTCGCCATGTTGGTTTGTGCAGTCGTTGCCAGAATGTCGGTAAAACATGGTATTCCTTCCCTGACTCCAAGTGGGCCATGGGCCAACATTCTAGCTGCGCCTGCTAGGACTCTGGATTTCCAACCGCCCACTACTAAAGTACCTGCCACGATTAGGTGACCAAAAAATTCATTTTCAAAGCCGACGGGGGCCTTCCGAAATCCAACAGGGGGAAACTCGGAAACAACCCTCATGTGCAGCAAGGCTGTTGCTTGTGGTAGCCGAATGAAGTGGGTTGTACATGCAGCGGCAGTCAGCCGACGGTGCCTGAATTGGGTGTAGCACTCAATCAACTATTTTGTGGCACCGTCGTATCCCTAGTCGAGGTTGAGGGGGGGGGATATAGCGAGTGCTTCAGGGAAGTCGTGTGCACTAGAGAGGGGGACTAGGGCTGACCTGTCGACCTGTCTCACTTCATTGCTCACTAACTCTCCGCAAATTCGCCGTGAGCGCAGTCCGCCTCAGAGAGAATCCAGCTTGTAGGCGTAGTCGCTGTAGACCCTGTCCTCCACAGTCTCCCGGATGAAACTATTCAAACTGGCGCTGACCGTTCCTTCGCTCATGGTAACATCGCCATCGGCGCTGGCAGTTGCCACGCCCTGACAGATTAAGAGCGCGCGCTCACGAACCAGTTCCCAGGTATCAAATTCAAATCGACCCTCGCTTTCGTTGAGCAAAAGGTGATTCTTCGACGAGAAGGCAAACACGTGGAGGGACACAGCAGCCTTGGCGGCAGTCGGGGAAGGATCCCGCACAATATCACCAGACTTCGTTACACCGAGGAGGGTTGCGGACAACGTCATCGATAGAGGAACGGAGGCAGATACCATAGCGAGCAAGGCAGCATGGAGGAGAGCCGGGAGGATAGTAAGGTACTAGATAAATCAGCCTGACAGTTCGACACAGTGCAGTGCGAAGGGACGCCTCGAGATACTCACCGAGTCACCGCGTTCCACGTTCTCTCCTCCAACAATAGCCAAAGTGATGACCACGCCGCGACGGGGAAAGCCCTTCTCCCGTCCGAGGACTATTTTCCCCAGCACAGACCGCAGGATTCCTTCGACATATCTTTCACCGACGCCAGCAGTGGTCGTACCTGGTTTAACAAAGACTTCCACGGTGGCTTCTTCGGGTTTCAATGCGTCACGGCGTGCCGGGAGCTCAATGGGCGCGTTCACTGCGCCCAGAATGCTGTAACCGGTAGCTGGACATTTGTACGACGCTGAACCGTCGGCACGATTTAGCTGTGAGAGGGATGCTATCGGACCGACCATATTCGCGATAGAGATTGAAATTGAGAAGCTTTCAGAGTTGTGTTCGAGCAAAGGGTAGCCCAAGTTGTCTCCCGCAGTGATTTTTCAAAGTGCGGGCCGCTCCTTGATTGGCCGCCTTAGCTTTGTACTCGGTACTTCGTTTGTCGCTGGTCCATCATGTACCTCTGCGGTATGGACTACAATTTGTCATTCGCTTCCTTTCCTTGGTACTATTGCCATTTATTGTGTAATGTCCGATGCGTCTTCTTCCAATTTGTCTTTGGACATGGCACATACAGATACTCTGGCCGTAAGGCTCAACTGTCATCTCTGATTCCCTACCGATTCCCTACCGATTCTCGTGGGTTTTTGCAGAGTGGATGGGTCAGCCCTAAGATTCCGAGCTCTTAGAATCCTCCTCAGCTAGCCGAAGGATTGGCAAGGCGGCTTCGCTCATACAGGAAGATGAAGACTGCCTAGAAGCCAAGTGAGCTGTGGCTTCAACCCCGGACTAGGGCGCCAACAATGACAAGGCAAGGATCTTGGAGTCCCATGATTTAACTGGACTATACCAGTATCGTGGAAAACTCCAGTCGGAGCCCAGAGGAGCCAAGCATTCCCGACAATGGGTCGCCTCAATGACATCGTCGCTTCAGGATGAGATCAAGGCTGCCCTGGGAAACCCCTCTTCTGGTTGAAAGCAAAGAGAGCATGTGCCCATCTTTGATACAAGTGGCCACTTCTTCCATGCACATTTTGTTTCTACCTCCGACTTGCTTCTTCCACCTCCCCCCTCCAGTGCGAACAAACTTTTTTCTTGCTCTCAAGGTTGACGGGCATCCGTCAGGAAATGTAAAGGCCATCTAACTTCTTTCCACTTCTTTCCTACAGTCTTGTTGAATGGGCATAGAGATGATACCCGATGTCAAGGAATCGACAGAGCCTCCTATATGTCCTCATACGGAAACCAATCCACAACCCAATGTGACATACAGATATACTAAGCCCTGTGATACCGACAAAAAGTCTATCTCGCTTTCTGATCGCACAACGTCCTTTGAGCCCCAAGCTAGTAAAGAAGGGCCCGGCCAAAATGCCCATCTTATAGAACCATCTGAGCTTGCATCCCTCCTCCACACAGATCCATCAATTTCCACCCAAAAAACACCTGGTTGACAACGTCTAAGGCTCTTCTGATCATCATGGCTCTTTGCTTCGGAATCGATGATTACGTCGAAGGAGGTGTTATTCCCGCAGTGATTGTTTTGAATATAGTTATGGGGTGAGTTTCTCAGATTCAAAACTAGCACACCGATTGAGCTAGTATCTGTGTCCTAGATTCGTGGAAGACTACCGTGCCGAAACGACAATCCCTTCGTTGCGTCGTCTCTCTGCCTCAACATGCAAGACCATCCGAGACGGTCGTGTTACCTCTGCCATGGCCGAGTCGCTGGTTGTCGGCGATATAGTTCAGCTGCCAGTTGGGGATATTGTTCCTGCCGACCTGCGCTTGTTCGATGGAATGAACGTTTTAATGGATGAAGCACTTCTGACAGGTAAATTCCGCCCCATCCTCAACCCCCCATGTGACGCTATCCTTGTCTGGTATCGCTGTCGGTGACCCAAAGATGGCCAATTTTGGCTGTAGCACTACATAAGGTCGTGCAATAAGGAAAAGTCATTGCACAACTACTGCAGATACGGCCCAATCTTGGTGGGTCGAGCGGTTTTGATTAAATGGGGAAACGGATGAAGGCGTTTTCCACGAATGTGTTGGGCTTGGTTGGTACGCCGTTGCAAGTGAAGCTAAGCAATTTTGCACTCTTGCTTTTCGGACTGGCGATTCTGCTCTCCATTAATCTCTTTTCGGTCAACAAATGGGATACTCAGGGCGAGGTTCTCATATATGACATCTACGCTGCCGTTGCCATCATCCCGGAATCGTTGATCGCTATTCCCACCATCACAATCGCCGTGGGCACGAAAGCAATGGCCAGGGAAATGATGCTTGTCCGGCATCTCCATGGTCTTGAGGCAGTCGGCGGTGTCACAAACATCTGTTCTGACAAGACAGGACCCTTGACTCGGGGAAAGATAGTAGCCCGTTCTGTATAGGTCCCCAGTGCTGGGACTGTGACGGTGAGCCAGACTACAGATTCATTTGATCCGATCAGCGGTCTGGTCCAACTAGATGACATTTATTGGAGCTCCCATCAAACTATCGAAAACGGTCCTGCACTGCATACCTTCCTACGAGCGCTTGCTCTCTGCAACTTTTCTACTGTCCATTGTGACAACCAAATCTGGATTGCTGTGGGTGAACCGACAAAAATTGCTCTCCAAGTTCTGGCTTTGCCCTTTGATTTTGGAAAGGACTCTGTGAGGAAGAAAAGGTAACTTGAATTGTATACGGAGTATCCATTTGATTCTACTATCAAAAAGACAACCGTCAACTATGATAATTTACGGGGATCAAAGAGGTGTATGCCAAGGGTGCCCCGGAGACCACTGTTCCCCATGTCAATATTGATAAAACAGAAAAGCAAATTATACAAGACATAGCCGATCGGATGGTAGCTGAAGGAGTTCGCGTTCTATGCATCGCACATTAAACAACCCCAGTTGACGACGAATCTCAATTATCCCCGCAGAGCTCTGCTAAATCCAGCCTACAATTCGGGGGTCTTGTGGGACTCTATGATCCCCCTCGAGTCGAATCAGCCGCAGCTGTACGCAGATGCCAAATGGTAGGGATCACAGTGCACATGCTCACTAGTGACCACATCAAGACAGCAATCGTGTCAGAAGTCGGTATTCTTGACTGTGTCACAGCTGTTGTCAAATCTAGCAGACTGGTTATGGCTGTGGATGAATTCGACCTGTTGACTGATTCGGAAATTGACACGATTGGGAAATGTCTCTAGTCTTCACACGACGCACTCCGGCCACCGAGGTTCGGATGGTAGATGCGATGCATCGGCGTCAGGCATCTTGTGTCATGACAGGAGATGGTGTCAATGATTCACCTGCTCTTAGAAGGGCTGATAGTGGTATTGCTATGGGCAAATGTGGTAGTGATGTTGCTAAAGAAGCTGCTAATATGGTTTTGGCGGATGACAACTTCTCCTCTGTTGTCAAAGCAGTTGAAGAAGGTAGACGACTTTGTGATAACATCCAGTAGGTAAGTAAACATGGCTTTAACACATCGTGATTCGATTTGGTGACAGCCACTTCAGTTCCTCGTGCATCTGCTCATTTCAAATAGTGCACAAGTCAGCCGTCGGTCTTGGACTCGAAGAGGCCCAGCCAGATATCATGTATAGATCACCACACGACCTACGCTTAGGCGTTTTTACCCGTGAGCTCATTGTGGATAAGATGATAGAGGGAACCTTAATAGGCACGCTTTGTCTGGTATCATTTGTCTGTGTGATATACGCCGCTGGATCGGGGCTGTCTTCTCCGAGCGATGGATGTAATCGGGAATTTAATTCAAGCTGCGACGCAGTGTTCCGCGCTCGCGTCACAGCATACGCCACACTCACCTTCCTTCTTCTTCTTGTGACAGCGTGGGAGGTGAAGCACTTTTCTCGTTCTCTATTCACCATGGATCCGATCCGGAATCTTAAGACATTCTCGGTTTTCCCTACCGTCTGGAAGAACCGCTTCCTGTTCTCGGCGGTCCTGGGTGGCTTTGTCATTGCTTTCCCGGTCATTTGTCTCCCCAGTTGTCAACCAACTAGTCTTCAAGCACCATGCTATCACCTCGGAGTAGGGAGTGGTTCCTGGTTGTACATGTATCTACGTACCACCTGTTAAGAGCTGGACAGCCGTGAAGCGGTCGCTGGGCATTGGGAATGAAAAGAATGCAACTCTTACGCTGGAGGGTGCTGAGACGCCAACAGGATTGGCCACTCGTACGCCACTGTCACTGAGTGCGAATGAAAGCGTGGAACTCAACTTACTTTGGAATGATTGTCCGACTGATTCAACACAGAGTCGGCTTTTGAACCGCTGCCTTGACGGCGTCCCACACGCTCTTGTTCATTTTCGCATCTATTTTTTCCACATAGGTTTTCCAGAATGAGATCAATTGATGTATCTCCCACTGTGAAATTACCATCGGACTTGAGATGGTCATATCTTAATCAAACCGGTAAATGTTGTAGTTCCTCGGTAGGTCTTACAGCCCTTCAGCCCTAGGCAGTGGAGATGCATGGTATTGTATAGCCATGTGTGGAGAATCAGATACCCGAAGACATCCATAATGCTGATTTGCCATTCTTCAAAGGATCAACAGTGATTCGAGATGACAAATAGTTTGATTGGTAGTTCATCGATAGGATGCTTCATTCTATCGAAGCCAAGCTCATGCGGAGGATTGATCTGATTGGCTATCGACCCAACATCGGGGAGCTGCTTCAAGTGCCGAGATCTTCGCGCATGTAGAGTTTAGAAAGAAGATGAAAAGAGACGGTTATAAGAGAATGTTTGTTGACTCATCGCTGATGATTAGTTTTGATGTGCTTGCCGATGTTCCTGGCGTGTTTGGGCAAAGGATAGATTGATGATCATCGCAATGGGTTTGAAACTGGTCTGGGCTGGCAAGGCAACAGTTAGTTGGATGAGAGATTTAAAGCGAAAACGCGAGGTCCTCCCTCCATCAGAAACGCAAGCGAGTGGCTCGATTGGAAATCGAGGTTGAGATAGGCAATAAAGGAGGGACAGGTGACAAGCGGAGAATCTAAGCCTGTTTTCTGAAGATTCTACGTGGGCCATGTTAATTTCGACTAGTGCAAACACATTTGATTTGGGGTTACGGGGATTAGATTCAAACCGGCACGATAGTTCAAAAGCGTGGGAATGAGGTTGATGAATTTGTGTTTATTTTTTACATCCAGCAGACAGAAAGTAGTGTCTTATTCAAGGGGTCTCGGAAACGTTGTAGACCAGCTTCTCGCCACTGACCTTGCCTTCCTTGAGCAACTTGAGACCCTCGAGCACACCCTTCAACCCATGCTCGCCAACCTTGAGGGGGTGGACCTTAACCTTTCCTTGGGCGAGTAGACACTCAGCAATGGGAATGAATTTCTCAGCGTAAGCCTGATCCTCCGGCTTGGCGGGGATGCGAATGTCTCCCAGGGAGAAGGCCTCGCCCATGTTTGTATAGGCCAGGGTGGAGCGGTCGTTCACATTGGCCCGGTTAATTTTGATGTTCAGCAAAGCGCTATACTCGCCGCCATCGGTGGAGATGGCATTGTCACAGAACGCAGCGCTGGACTCGAGCGAGATGCAGTCAAAGGCGAGCTTCAGATTGTTATCAGTGGCCGTGCGAATTTTGGCGGGGGCCTGGGCGTCGTTGTAGTCATAGACATCATCGGCGCCAAGGCTTCGGACCAAGTCGAAGTTGCGCGGCGAGCAAGTGGTCAGGACCTTGTAGCCCGACAACTTGGCAAATTGGATAGCCAGGGTACCGGTCGCAGTGGATCCACCGTAAATTAGAATTGGAATGGCATCCTTGATGGGTTCGGTGGGCAATGCAAGCTTCAAACTCTGGTAGAGACTCTGGCTCACGGTGTTGATTCCCACTCCGAGAGTAGCGGCCTCCTGGAAGCTCATGTTTTCGGGGATCTTCCACTGCACGTCACCCTTGGCAACGATGTACTCGGCGAAAGCACCATCCTCGGGCTGCACTGTATTGCCACCGTGCACAAATCCACATACGCGGTCACCCTTGCTAAATTGCTTTTTGACATCCTTGCCGACGGCCTCGACAATGCCTCCATAGTCGCATCCGATGAGAGTACCGGGAGGGGAAATGAAAGCAACGTGCTTCCAGTCAGTGGGGTTCAAGCCCACACTAACAGTCTTGATGAGAAGGTAATCATCGCGAAGCTTGGGGATGGGTCGATCTGTGACCAGACCCTCAGCCTTGGGTTGAGTAACAATGACTGCCTTCATGATAGTCGGGAGATGGAAACGGTCGGAACTTGTACAGAGAAGGAGAGAATTGGTGTTAAATAGGTTCCTGATTACAAATTGGAGAAGTATGACGAAATGGAAACCTCTAAAAAAGGCTCCGAACATCCACTTATACATCTCCACTTGCTGAGATCTCCACAATTATTGCACCGACTCCGTCTCAATCTATCCGACATCCTCTCTACACAGCTGTTGGTGAACAGCGTTGCCCCTGAAAGGGTTTGTTGGATCTTAATTTGTGCCACACATGCGCTACGCAGCCTTCGTCACGCGAAAATCTCCATCTTGGGCATCTTTTGATTCACTCTGAAAGCAAGCCCCAATCGATACTTCTTCTGTCTACTCTGGACCTTGATTTAGTCCCTTGACCAATTTTTCGTATCACAGGGATCATTCACATCCACCCGAGTCGTGCAGCTAAGGCTTGGATGCATTCCAAGTGTTCATGTTGCGTCAACCATTCACCCGAAATGAAGCCCTGTCGTGGCTTTTGCAGAGTAGTGGAAAAGGCACTGCATGTCTTCTAAACCGGTGACCCAAAGGTTTCTTCTTGATCAAAGAATGGCTGCATGTATAAAACGCAACAGTTTCACCTACAGTGGCACATGCAACGAGCTTTGCCTGCTGTCCAAATCAGTCCACCTCCGAAATGAAGAGCCAGAGAGGGAAGATGCTTGGAGGAGACATCCTATCCCGAAATCTGAAAGTCAAATAATCGAAAAATCCACCTTAGATCCTCTTTTTCTTTTCGGTGCGCAAGAACGCCTGATATGCGAAATATATCAGGTATCAAATGACGTTCTCCTAACTGGCGCAAGGGGGAGCAGCCAAGACTAGAGCAAAATCAGGGTTCATCCAGTTTGAGAATAATGATCAGACCCCATAACTTGTGATTTAAGTCTAAACCAACGTAATAGGCATCTCTTGACATCCGTTGAAAACAGGTCCCGAATCGGCCTATCGCGGGGTCCATCGGTTAGTGCTTATGCGTGAACCTGAACAACCCCTCCCACCTAAAATTCCCTCCCAACTCAAGTTTTGACTTCAACCAGCATTTCATCCGCCATGAAAGTGCTTTGTCTTCACGGCAAGGGCACTAGTGGCTATATCTTCCGGTCCCAGATTTGTTAGCCTCTCCCCAGCCCACAAGTCTTTCCAACTAATCCCCACTCCAGCCACATTCCGCGCTAAACTTCCTGACGATATCCAATTTGACTTTCTCGACGGCCCATTTAAGAGTGATGCCGCTCCAGGTGTAGATGTCTTCTACAGTCCGCCCTACTACGCTTTTTGGGAAAATGATGGTATCGACTCCATCCGAGCCACCTACACCTGGCTGACTGATCATATCGACAAAAATGGGCCCTATGATCTAGCCCTCATGTTCTCCCAAGGTTGCGTCCTGGGCTCTAGTGCGCTCTTACTTCATCAGGAAGAGACACCCCACCTCCCCCCACCGTTTAAAGCGGCCGTTTTTGTCTGCGGTGGCGCCTCGTTGAATGTGCTTGAGGAAATGGGCTTCCACGTTTCTGCCGAGGCGCGCGAGCGGGATCTGGCATCCCGGTCGGCGTTAGCTCAACAGGCTGGCTCGTCGGCTCTCTTGGCCCAGGGCGGTGATCGATGGACTGGTCTCCAAACGCTAGACGGTGGGCTGTCGGAGGCTGAATTGCGGAATGAGATTACTTGTCCCTACCGTATCAATATTCCCACAGTACATATTTACGGCTCGAAAGATCCTCGGTGGGCGGCTGGCGTACATCTTTCCGGTATCTGCGAACCAACGAAACGGCGCACGTATGATCATGGCGGTGGACATGAGATTCCTAGGACGAATGCCGTGAGCAACTCGATCGCAGAACTTTTCCAGTGGGCTGTGGCACAGAGTCAAATCGAACAGTGATGGTTTAATCCCATGTCATCTCTTAAGCGCTTTCTTTTTAGTTTTCTTTTTAATTTTTTTTTTCCTTCCTGATTCTTGAGATACATAAACAGCAAATTTGCGGACGTGCCAACATGAGTTTAAAATAGATCACTCTGATTTGGAGAATGGAAAACTGGTACCTGAAAAATTGGGGCTACTATATCTGTTGCTATGGAGTCACAACCCTGTGATTCCGAACATCGAGATGGATGATCCACTTTGACGATCACGCCATTATCATTTTAATTACTTTGGATTCACCAAATTCATCAAAGTACTTGTCACATCTACTAACTCCACATATGAAAGTACCTAAACTCCGTCGCCAATGTTAGCCCTACGTAAGCCACGCTAGCCAGGGGGGGGGGCGATTTCCGGCCCATTAAAGCGCAAATTCTCAACCACACAGGGAAAAGTTGCCATACACCATGTGGGAGGAGATGCTCAAGCGCACACGGGCCGAGGAGTCCAAGGAATTCAAGTTATTCAAGGCACTTGTCAATGGAGATCTCGCAGTTGAAGATACTGTACAATGGGTCATAGCCACGACAATGGACAGACTGGAAAACCACGGCCCCGGAGGAACAATCGAGAAAGCCGACGCAATAACGTTCATAGCTATTTTGGAGCTGGCCATGCAAATCGACACAACTCAGTATGGCCCATTGATCAAATTCCTGGCGGAGTTGAAGCTGTACAATGCCGTTGATTCATCGACTGGGTTGGTTCTCAAAACCCAGGATGGAAGCAGAGTATGGTCCCATCTACCATCCCTCACTTTCTGGGCTCGCGAAATATGGAATGAGCATGAGTGCGGTCGGAGAACACGTATGCGACAGCGACCTTGGATTCTGTCAGTTTCTTCTGTAGCGCTAATCAATTTCTTAGACCTCTGTGACCCGGGTATGGAGCCTGATCAGCAAATCAGATGGGCTAAGCTGAATATCTTTCTCGCGCAAGTGACGCAGGCTGCCGATGTCGAATACGATTCACCGCTGCAGGTGTGGATCGGCGATGCTATGGATGAATCTCACATCGGACTCTGTGGATTGCGTCAAGTGTTTGAAGAGGGCATCCCTTCCAAACAACTTGTCTCGACAGCTGGTCTGCTCGGTGTGTGCTATTGGCTAATCTGTGCCGGGGACAGACTGTGGGAAAATGTTCTCAACGGTTGCAAATACAACAAGTACGATGGGCGACCGGGAGAGATGTATTCGAATCGGGGTTGGAAGGGCTTTGAACGCGACAGATGGGAGATATGGGTGCAAGGCTTTCGTGACACCAAGGCTACCTGCACAACTGGCCAGGAACTCGTGGAAGACTTGATAGACCGTGCTCTACTCAAGATAGAGTGTGTAATGAGCAATGAAAAATGATGGTTATCGTTCCCCTAAGCTTTTTCGATGCTTGCAAAACAGAATAAAGGCCTCGGAGTGTTGGAACGAAGGGGGATCTCTGTGACTGGTAGTAAGTTGTAGTTAAACATACCTTGAGTGGGCACAGAAGGCAACCCTTGGAGGTCGAATCCGTAGATTTGCTCTATGGTCCAATGTCTATCGAAACGCATGATTAGAGTAGAGCGAAGGAATCTCCTTTTTTTTTATCTAGTAAGTGAGTCCTAACTGGCAACTCTGGTATGGCAGCCATGTAGACCCTAGTTCTCTCGTCGAAAACGTTGCATTCGAAAGAAATCTAGGACCGATCTAAAAACCTCACAGAGGGTACTGATTTAGAGAGCTCAACTCGAAACTGTTTACATGGGCAGAGAACGCCAGATCTACAGATCCTCAACGAGACAACATATTAACAAGCACAAGCCACCTACCAGGAGAAGGTCTCCTCAAACAGATCAACAGTCTTCTCCCCTTGCACACTTCTGACAGCCTCCCGCACACTATCGCCCAGGCCACCAGGGCCGCAGACGCTAACCGCCATCGCACCAATCTGCTCTTCTTTTTCTTTCTCTAGCACAGATTGGATACACGGCTTGCCGTGGTGGATGCTGACCGGTACGCCAGGCGGAGCACATTGAACCCACAGCGAATCTGGTTGTGGGATGTATTCCTCGACCGTGTCCTTGTGCGATGTGATGTGGAGGCTGATGGAGAGAAGGAGCTGTGGAAATTGGAAGTATGAGTGCCCGTTCGGGGTTGTTGGACTTGCGAGAGATTCGTGGCCTAGCATTTCGGTCATGAATGTTTGAACCCAACTCAGATGATCTTTCAGGATGTTAGTGATCAATCGCATGTAACAGGTGGGGGCGATCATACCTAGACTGCGAACGATCCAGACCAGGTGCACCTTGCGAGTGGCGGTCTTTTGCTCGACAAACGTGGTGATGACCTCATTTAAATATGACATTGGGTGAGTGATACCAACTCCCCCAGCTATCAATAGTAGAGTACCATATGAGGCGAGAGAATGGATGCCACCTGTGAGACGTTAGCAAATATGTTCAACCCCCTCAATGATGAATGTTTGAGGTGGGGAGTCCATACCAAATGGCCCCTCTGCCAATGCCATGGCCTGAATTCGTCCCTCAGTGGAGTCTTCAGCCTTCCGAAGCAACTTTTTCGTGAATCCATCTTGGCCCTTGATCAGGACGGACATGGTTGTGGTCGGAGAGCTTCCGGATAGCGCGCTCAAAGAGTCCCCCGAGGAGCGCTTTTCGTTCATGCTCAACGAATCTGATGTCGATGACCACGCAACCGTAAAGGGATGTGATGTCCATAAGCCCAGACACGGCATGTAGAGGTACATATACTGGCCGGGACGGAAGCGCCATCCCCGAGCCACGGCCACATCAACGCGAGCAACAGACCCAGGTAGAACCTCGACTGTAGCAGTTGTAGGTCTTGAGCTGAGATTTCTCCAGAGGAGTATTCCAAGACGACCTGCACGATCGAGACCCCACAGGATCAAGGTGCCAAGAAGCACGCGCTGTTGCAACAGGTTTTGCAGGTGATACCAAAGTGCCACGAAGGAAAATACGGCCAAGGCTATGTGGAGGTGAAGGAATAGTTCGTAAAATGAATGTCGGGCCGGCGATAGAGATTGAAAAAATATGCAAATGAATCCAAGGATGGCCTAAAGATGTACATGTTAGATGGCGATCTGAGGTGGTCTGAAGTGCTGGTGAAATGCATCACATACCAGAAGGCCGCAGATAAAAAGCTTCTGTTGCCACATAACATATAGAATATAGTCCGTGCCATCTACGTTCAAAAGTTCGACGTTAGTGAACGATTTCATAATTGATGTCCCATGGCCACTCACACACATAAGCCTTATCGGCCAGCACGGCGCTCATGTGAATGACCGCGTTGGCTGTGATCACACGGCCCACCCAACGATGCATGAAATTGAACGTATCGAATGAGATACCCAATAGCTGGATTAACGGGTTATTTCGCCCTGCACCTAGGACCAAGCCTGGCGTATTCATAACTGCCAGATGGCCCGCGGCGTATTTGAGCTGGAACATCTTCTCGGAGTAATCAGTGAGCCACCAATCGACTTTCACAACTATGAAAACTAGGTTCAAGCTGAGATAGATTAAGAGGCAAATCACTTCCAGTCGTAGCGGTAGAGATCCCATATGAAGCCTCAAGACGCGGAACTCTCGGCTATGGCGATTGCCCCATATCGGAGCATACAGCAAATGCTTTTTCAGAGCCGCATTGAAGCGATTTGTCCGGCACAGCTGCGTCTGGTCGGTTCCTTGCCGTGCCGCCTTTGCTCGTCGACAATGTCGGATGCGAATGACGGTTTTCCACACAAATCGAATTGCTATGAGTCCGCTGACAACGAAGAGAGGGACCGCGATCGTGGGATTCATAGGCGGCTCCCCTGAGCCATTTCCTTTGAGTTCGACACCCATTGTGTCATTCAATAGGCAAGGGGAGCTCGAGCTGCAGATCCACTAGGTTTGGAGACCTTCAACCAGAACGAGCTTATATTACCCAACCTTTGAAAAGCTCAAGACCGAGAAGGGGCGAGAACTCAAGATTTGGACGGAACGATGCCTTTTAAAAAAGGTCCTGGAGCCGCATGAAAGGCAAAGTAAGACATCGGCATCATTGGCGTTGTATTCATTGCCAGAGCACCTACCCATGAATAGACACATGCCGTCATTGATCGCTACAGGTCCCGCAAGCTTTTAAATTTTTTTTTGGCAGAGACGAACAAACCCACCCTCACGTTTACGCGGCAAGCGTGATTAAACGTGTCTCACATGGCCAGTGTAACGCCGAATCGGGCAAAATGGAGCTTTGGCACATATGGGAGCTTTATTCTGAGTGGAGATGATGCGCTCGGTTGAGTGGTGAAGATTCCAAACCTCTGGGAATTGCCCTATCATGATCAAATCGAAGGACAGGTGGGCCGGGGACAATGTGGCGGGCAAAGTCATTTGTGCTGGCTTACCGGGTTCTGGATAGGACGTAGGCATAGCCGACGTGGCCGCTGTTCGCCAACCCGAAAACGGAATGTTGATACCTGCTGTCACTTTCAGCATTCTTCACCCCCTAATCGGTCATCGAATAAGAACAGAGACCTGAGAAATTTCAAACTGACTGCTTCAGTTGCTGGATCAAGCCAAGATTTCCTTGATTTTTGCAGATTAATTGTCAGAGCCCTCGATATCAAGACTCTCAACATGGACTCGAGCCTCGTATACTCGGTTCAATGGGATGTAACTGCAACGTCAAGAGACAATGGTCAAGTTCAAGGTGGAAACTGTAGCGTAGTAATCTTGGAACCTTTAATATATGACGCCATAGTACACGACAGTCAGACCCCAATCCGCATGCTCCTGAATTGACTGGAGAGATTCTAGTGGACAGCCAAAATGGCGAGACAGGCCGAATCTTGCCTTTGTAAAACCGAATACGATCTGATGCGCAAGACAAAGGAATCGAATCTCTCAGGTGAGTAAAAGCTCGAGTACTGGTAGCTGGTTATGACTACAGGCCAGGAGATCCACTGAGAGTTCACTAGGGGAGGTGTGGCCTTGGTTTCCTGGCAAAACAAAAATTGATGCCTTGCGCTTTCCTCTTCCGCTTGACGGTTTCTTTACAGTGGTGCCTTTTCATTTGTACACCCGACGTGATTATAATCAAATGAGCAGAAGCTAAATAAGAGATCCCTTACAACATAGCCAAGCCCCTTTTCAAATGTGCTTCTGTAACATCCCTGGGGTCTAGAATGGCCTAAAAAATCCCACCAAAACGGGACGACAGGATCTTTTTGACCGAAACCAACTTCGAAGAGAATCTCAGCACAGACCCTTGACTTGGTGGGTATCTTGACTTTGTTGCACTATGTCAGGGAAATGCTGCAAGCATTGGAAACCAAAGGCAAAACGTCACTGTTCTTGTAGAGCCACTTTAACCCCCAATAATTCTGTTAAAAAAAGAATTAAAAAAAAATGAGGACTAGGGAAGAGAGAGAAATCGATGATCTAGGAAATGACCCAGCGATGCTAATATAAACCCTACAAAAACTCAACTCAACAGGTGGAACGCAAAATTGATCGGTGTCGGTAGCCCTGGCTCTACAACCTAGAGATCTTGGATGTGCTTGGCATGTATTGATTCACATGCCAGTTTTCAGACACGTGAGTTTACGGTAAAAGTTGCGATGCCATTCGATTTAGCGCTAGAGCTAACACAAGGACGTTATTCCTGATAACATTCCATTTCCCCCACTATTTTTCATGACCAAACAAACCCTTTACCATGACATAACTAAAAATACAAAAGCCTGGAACGCCGTCATTAGTAGGTTTGCATAAGGGACAACTATGCTGTGTTCATTGCAGATCTCAGGCAGGGACATTCTGCACATTGGTAGGGGCACGGGGGACTGGCTGTTCATCTTCCTCGACAGAAAGGCTGCCATACCCGGTGTCATTGCTGGCTGATCGTCCCCGACGCAGAGGCGGCCTTGGGACAGGACGTATAACTAGATCTTGGTCGGCGTCACTTTGTGACGACTGGGATTCTCCCATGCGTCGACGGGTCCTGTATTTCTTAGGCAGAGCCCTGTAAGGTGGGGTGTGCACAAAGTCGGTGACATTGATGCCTGCGTCTTGGCAAATTGATGTGCACGAATTGACAATCACTTCTATAAGAGTGGATGAGAAGCCGTAAAAAGCTGGGGTGTAGGCATTTCGGGCCCAGTATATAAGTTCTGCCGATACCCGCCCAATATTGGGGATGTCACGAGGCCAAATGAAGGGCTTGTGCGTCGGACGGGGCTTTTCTTCGGCTTCATCATCTGCAGAGGAGGTAGCCTCCGAGGCTGGAGCCGAAGGGGAGGATGAATCGGATGAATCAGATGATGCGATGTAATCTACGTCAGAGGCAAGGAGGTGTAAGAGGTGATAGACAGACGAGAACCCAATGAGAGAAAGCTCGACAGGATCAATTGGAAGCTGATTAAACCAAGTGATGGCTTTCTGAATGGTGAATGATTCCGGTAGCGAAGAGGCGTCACCTGTGGATCGTTCGGTGATTATGGTGGCAATCATAGCACAACGCACGGCAATGGAGATTTCGTCCCGTACAGAAACGGGCAGAGAGGAATCGAGAAAATTGGATGAGTGGCTCTGACTTCCCTTTCTCTTCTCCTTTGGTAGCGCGGCAAGAACTACCCCAACATTTTCAATGCGATTGTGTTCAAAGAACACTGCTTTCATCACGAGTGCCCGGGTATACGCGGCAGAAAGAACTGGTGCCACATCAAGGGACATGCGAATCTTCTCTTTGAATGCATCGCGGCTTGTCTTGGACACCGGGCCCTTCTCGCTTGCTTCGAAATACTTGAGAAGAGCGGTTTGCAAAAGGTGACTGGACCACCAAGCTGCAAGTGCATCTTGGGAACATTGGATAGCCGGGTCCTCGTCCACAACATCAAGCAGCACCTCATCGTCGCCAGTACCTTCTTGGGTTGGTCGGTTCCACGTCAGATTCACAGCGCGTTGAATAATACTGTCAATCATGACATCATCGCATTCCAGTTTGATCAAAGCAGCAAGATGAGGGGGAAGCTGATCAGGGTGACCATCAGGCAGCGCGGCATTGATTTCTCGAGCCACGTCCCACTGGAATCTGGCAAGAGCTCGTGCAATGTCATTTGACACGTGGAACGACCAGGAGCCTGCCTCTCCCACGTTCCACAAAAGAATGCGGACGTGCAAGGCCTTGGTTATCATTCTTATGGGAGTGCAGGGTAGTGTGCCCGCAGCGAAGATGGTGAGCACAAGGCGGCTCTTGCTGATCTCAGAATCTCCGCCAGTGAGCTGAGCATCAATTGCGATATCCCAAGTCTTGAGTCGCCCCTTCTCATCTTCCTCGGTGATCCCGGTGGCCCATGAGTAGAATTTCCATCCCAACAAGCATCGCAAGACATATTCAAAGCATCTCGAAGTAACGACATACCACTCTCGGAAGAATCTATGACGTGGAACACCGACCCGTTGCATGCTAGTCAGCCAAGCCTGCCGACGGAAATCACTAGGCGTAGGAGGCGCAGCCGGGCTTTCAAAAGCCGATTTAGATGGGCCACGCCGAGAGATGGGCTGTGCGTTGAACAAGTAGACAAAAACAATAAAGGCACTACCAACGACCAGCGTTGCTAGCATGAGGAAACGAGAAAATGCACGCGCCTGCCACGAGTACCAGAACTGGATCAGGTAGAATTCCCAGTGTGCCAGTGTGGGTGCATGGAAACGGCCGAAAAGGCCCATGGGGAGTGCAAACAGGCCCTTTGACTCAGATTCGGAATCGTCGGAGCCCATACCTTCAAGAACCATCAGACCGGCAAGGGCACCTAGCATATACTTGTTGGGCATTCTTGAACGTCGAGTGGAGGTATCTTCTCTCGCAAAGTGCGGCTGATGAGGCGAGGATGATAACGAGGGATATTTCATGAAGGATTCAGCAAAGACTCCATGGTTTGCGGTTTCAGCTCGCATCCGCTTCCATGCATCAGGAACCGGAAGGAGACCTTCTGGGGGGTTTTGGGAGGTAGGTGAGCTCTCACTGGACACATCTTCCGCCTGAGAAAACACACTAGGTGATGTACCGGAGCCCGATTCCGTCGAGGCGTAGTTGCTTGGCGAGGACACAGAGGCCGAGGATGTGGCGGCCTGATCTGCTAATTTATCAGCCTGGCGGAGCCGGTTCTTCAAATCAGTGTTTTCGTCTTCCAAACGTTGGTTACGGATTTCCAGGTGCTTGATGTACTCTGTTGCTTTCGACAAAATAGACGCTTTGTTGAGCTTGTTCGCAGCATTTGCTCCCTCCGTCTCCTCGTCATCATCGGCTGAGCCTCCATTCGGATTTTTGTTCAACCTAAGGCTGGGAACACTGTCGCGAAGTTCGGCGATTTTATCGTTCAAGTTCGCGCGATACCGCTTCTCGATGACGTTGTGGGCTCGCTTTTTGGCGGGCATCTTCTTGCCCGGTTGCACTGGTTCAGTCATTATGGTGGCATCGTCGTCGCTGCTCGTCTTTCGCTTCCGGCTTATCCCAACACTTGAGATTGGAGACACGAGGCCTAAGTTTTGTTGCTGGCTCGTATGGCTATTTTGTCCAAGCTGGGTGTGGGTGTACCCAAGGTTGTTCTCGGCATTGGGCTCGGATTGAATTTCCATCAAGCCGACCGGAAGATTAGGCGAGAAGTCTTTGAAGTTCAAATGGCTTGGGGAGCTCATATCGGTGTACGGGGAAATAGATGGTAGATCTGTAGATGAGCCCATTGGCTTTTGATCTCCTTCCGAGAACATGGGCTCATCCCATCGCATCCATTGGGTCCAATCTTGGTTCACAATCTCTCCGGATGGAGGTGTGAACAAATGACCATTTCCTTGCGCCT